AGGGAAAGATTTGTTCAGAGATATATGCTTTCATGATTAAGTATTTCACTTACATTCCACTCCACTGTGAGAATGAAACTTTGTACTATCATAGTTATAGTACAAAAACCTGTGAACATTTAACAGAAAAGTTAACTTTTGCTAGAGGTTTGAAACATCTCATTGTACATTGATTTACTGGCATCTTTCAAAAGAAGCGTCACAGCTTCTATCAAGTTTATTACTTCTTATGAATGTCATCAGGAATGGCTTCTTCTGAACTAAAGAACTTTGAGGTTGGTAATTGTGTTACTTGGAGTATAGTTTCTTTACTTAAAATCTGCCAAAGTTTAAACAATAAGCAGAAATGTTATTTTACCTGAGCTTTTTTTTTTTTTTCCTAATAGTGATGTAATTAACCCTTTTTAGTTATTAGGTGGTTTCAGTCAAGGGAAGAACTTTATGTGAACTTGGTCTAACTTAAACAGCTCTTAAGTCTGCTTTCCTAGTGGAAGAATATCCATGGGATTATTCACTTCTACATAATTCATATTTGAAAAGTATAATACATGTGGAATGTTTTAAAATTACATTTTCTGAATATAGTTCTCTCTTTACTCCAAGGTTGCATTGCTAATTGTCTAAAAGCATTTTTAACAGAGAAGCAATGTTACAGATTATAGCTTGGTAGGTTAATCCATTTGTGTTTTTGCAATTTTAAAGTTACAGTGAATTTTGGAAAACTGAATACTTGTGGAAATGAATATTTTTCAGGGAGGAAAGAATTCTGTTTCTTACATTACAGGCAGGAAAAATTTTGCATTTTATTTGAAATGTTAAAGCGCATGTCTCTGGCTAATTTATTGAAAGATTCAGTTTGCATTTAGTCATAAAATGTCAGTGAAATAACCTTTTGACTTTGATCAGCCTTCTGGGTTTTAATAGAATTTCCCACTGATAATAACTTTGGTGGACCATGAGGAGGAAATTCATGCTAAGTTCTCCTGCAAATAAGAATCTAAAATGTCACAAAATAAATGTGCTTTGTGTTTGAATTTATTATTATCTTTCTGTTAAGGCTGAAGAGATGATTTTGAGAGGAGGCTTGAAATCTCTGCTTCCCCATGTGTTGAGAAGAGTAATTCGATGCAACAGACTCAGTATTAGTAATACTTCTGGAATGGCAGAGGGTAAGGAAACACAACAGCTCTACGTGCAAAACGTGAATCTATTTTAGATTCATAACTATCTCTTTTGTTTTGTTTTGTTTGTTTGTGAAAGAATGTAGGAATATTAAAGGCAATGAAGTAAAACAGAAGAAAATTGTTGACTTATGTTGTCAAGTCATTTGGGTGTTTTTGGAATCACATTGTAAGCACCTGACACTGTGTTCTTGAATCATAAAGCTATGTCAGAGTAAATATATCATCCTACCTGTGTAAAGTACATGGACTTTGTTTTCCAAGTTTGCAGTGCATCCTGCAGCTTCCAGTTACGTCACTAAGAAATTATGGATGTAGAAAATACTTGAAAAATCTTTACCCAAATCTGACTTCTCTTGCATATGCTACTATTACATTTGTAAGATGACATACTACGTTCTTCATAGAGAACTTGCTTTGCTTATTACATCGATACACTTTGGAGAAGAATTAGAGACATATAGTTACAGAAGTGGTTTTCTGCTTCATTTGTTAAAAAAGTTGGAAATTACAGACTCGTCAAGACTGGGAATTATAAAGTGGAGAGAAAAAAACAGTTTTATACTTAGATAACAGTTCGTTCTGGAAAGTCGATTCCTGTCTTGGGTCTTATAGCTGGACTTTTACAAAAGCAGACTGTCATTGCTCTGAACAACTTAAAAATGTAACTTAACTAAAAACACCGTGGCAAGTAGCTGACCAACAAAGCCATGTGGAGTAGCATTACTATAACTTAAGAACATTAAGGGTCATTTTATAGAATTGTAGTGAGTCTTGAAATTATGGTGGTTTTTTTTCATCAGTACATAAGTTGAAAAATACTAATGGAAGATACGTTAGAATGTTAATACTTTGCAGTTTGGCCTAATTGTATTTTTCAGTACATGTATTGCTGCAGTGGTTTTAAATGTGCTAGTTTTAAAATTTGAAAAAAAGTATTATTTACATAAAAAACAAGTTCAGAGTTTTAGCCATAAGCACACAGCTTCCTTATGCAAAGACTAAAAAACTAGACTAATTGGAGTGTCTCAGAAACCTTAAAGTTGTCTTACATTGTTAGGTGATATACTACTAAAATAATTATATCTTGCTGCTCTCATTGTCATTCACCAAAGAAAGTAAAAACTTTTTCTAAGCTTTTCTGAGATGGGACATGAGTGTGTTGAATTAATGCATGGGCTGATCAGCATGTCTGTTGTTCATGAGTATATTCATAATGATGGATACATAAATGTGAATATATACCTGAGCTGAAGGGAAGAATATTTTTTAATCTATAAAGAAAGTGTAACCATCATGAGGAGCAATAAAGTTTTCAGAAATTATAGTGAAGTTTCCTGAATTTATAGAATACCTCAAACTGACCCACAGATTCAGTCTGTCAGCTGTGACTTAAGTTGGATGTTGCCTCAGTTGAATGCACTGACTAAAACCATAATTTTAAGAATTTGTGAATATCACCAGCAAAGTAGAAAGTGCCTGTGGATTTCACATGGACAGCAGAAATGAAGTTGAGGGATAACTATATGTAGTATTTTATTCAGTGGTAAATTTAGTATGTTTATTTAACAAAAATATATTTCTGTGCTTAGCAAGAAACCATTTCTGTATTTAGTAACTTTTGCTAGTAATAAAATGAATATTTGTGCTGAGTGCTCCCAAGAGAGCAGTTTGTGGGCAAAATCAATATGCAAATACATTCTTACCTAAGCCTTTGCTTTGCATTTTTCCATCAGGAATATAATTTTATCTTTTTAATTTTTTTGTTAGCTTTGGTCAAGAGCAAGATTTTTTTAGCTGATTTTTACAGCCTTTTAATGCAGATCATTGATTTCAACTAAAAGGTTGCCTCTTGGATGACAGACTACCACTGTATTTAAGAAAGTTAGAGCTTCTATGCAGCCTCTCACACTCCTGTCCAATACCAGACACTGTCATAACTTCTCAAGACAGTATAAATACATGAGTTAGAGACTGTTAAATGGCAGTTTTATACAGCACAGACTAGCTGTAATCTAAATTTCCTGTCTGTATCTAAACAATCGGTATTTACATGCAGGAAAATTAAAATGACATTGGTATTAATTACTACTGTTTAGAAAACAAATTTTTGCTAAATAAATGAATGTGAGCTTTCTGCATTGGTGCTAATTGCAAAAATGTTAATGTCTTTAGAAGCTATTGCATGGTAGTGGTCAACAACCTTTTAAATCAAAGTTGATTCCAAGTGAAGAAATTGTATAAGTTTTTTTCATTTTTTTAATTAGAAGTAATGGAAATTACTGAGATTCAGTGGGATAGGTGAGGGTTTATTCCTGGGCTGTAATTATGCATCCCATAGTAGAATTCCAAAGCCAACAAACTCTAAAGAGTGGGCTACATAATGTCAAGATGCTGTCCATGATTTATAGCTTGGTATTAAATCAGAAAAATAAATTTAAAAATAGTGTAAGTGTGGTATGCAGTAGCCTTTCTTGGGCTTTGTGCTAACATTTGCAAAGTAAAGCATTTTGCTATGAAATACTGATTTCTCAGGTTAGGTAATAAATTTTGTTTATATATAAATCTATAGAAGTGTTTATTAAAGTAATTATGCTGTCTTCATATTCTAGTGCTACTCATGTCTGCCAACTCTTTTAGCACTGAACAATCTCACATACAGAGGCCGTCTAACCATGGTTTTACAAACATTTTAAAAAGTTGCTTAATTACAGACTTTTGAATCAGAAATTTCCTTGAGGTAATTTTTTATAGATCATCTAAAGAAATCTATACAGGAAAGTTACTGTTTCACAAACAAAAAGCTGAATTAATAACCAGTCATTCCTACTTTCCACACTTTCAGGCTATAAACAGGCCAATGTTGTGATTTTGCACAAGTCACTGGCTGATGACTTTGAGAAGTTCTGCCGTGCAAATGATGGACCCCTGCCACTGCTGCACAGAAGTAAACCAGGTGACTGGAAATGTCCTTCTCTGAGTAGTGATTCTGATATCAGGTAACTACCAACCAACTCTGCCTCTCAAAAGTTCTGAAGTGAATGGCAGTGGTGATGAAGAGGGTTTCAGGAAATGGCCTGCTCACACTACTGGACATTTTGAAGAAGTTTATTTTCATGGAGTTACACCTTTGAATGAAAACTTATGCATGAGTGTAACAGCCTGATCATCTTGTTCTTGAAAAGCATGCTATGATAATTGTCAATATTAGAAGTATTTCTCTAATGGAAAAGTGAAATTATGTAATTTCTGATTATTTTGCAGTCTGAGCCAGCAGAATTAAATAAAGTTTTACCTATATTTTATTTGGTGGTAACACAGACACGGTGACTGCATATTTGTAGGGTCTCAGAAAATTTAAAAGGCGTACTCATGTAGTAAACACTAAAAAACCAAGACTTAATTCCCTAAATTTTTAAGCCCTGAGACAAGATACTTGTAAGGGACATTTACCTAAAAATCTAAAAAATACCGAAGTCTCACATATTCTGTTTATTGGCTTGCTTTTGTGCAGAATACGATTATTTTGGGGTTTTTCTTGTGTTTATTTCATTGTTACTCCAAAAGAAAAGAAACTGATAAAGTAGGCTACATCTTGTGGTTTGATTCTGATTTAATGTTAACTCATACAATTTGCTTTGTTTTCAAAAAATATGACGAAGCTGTGACACCTTCTTGTTTCACTAGAACTGACTGTCTGCAGTATCAAGTGTATGAGCACGGAGCTTGTACTGGATCACTGACAAGCTTAAAGGAGTATTCTAAACAACTAAAGGACATGGTTACTTTTTATTTAGGCTGCAGCTTCTCTTTTGAAAAAGCAGTCCAAAGTGCTGGCATTCCCATAAGAAACATTGAGCAAAAATGTAATGTAAGCATGTATAAGGTAAGTATGCACAGTCACACACAGTCTTTGTTGCAACTTTGTGTATTTGTCCATATTCTCATTCTGTGCATATATCTATTGCTCAAAAAAATAACTTTTTTTCCTATCTGAATTGTAGCTTTAGGCATGTGCTAGTGTTGAGTGCATAAAAATACAGGGTAAAATAAGCTCAGCCTCAATTGAGTGTTTTTTTCAACTTCCTGCAAGGCCAATCTCCTTTTTTTTATTCATTTATGGTAACAAACTTTGTCCTTGTTTGTCATGGCAGCCATTTCATTTGGATTCTGTTGGGATTTGCCTTCTCTGTTTCAACTGATGACCCATGCACTTCATATGACATGCCTTTTATACATGTCCTGCTCTCCCTACCAGCTCCAGCTTGCAGCAGAAAAACTCTTTTTATAAGCCATGGCAGTAGCAGCTTCTTCTACATGTATGACAACCACATTGGTTTTTTCCTGTGACAGTGTAGCCTGTAAACTGCGTATTTGCTATAAACCCAGACCTGTGGACCAAATATTCCCAAAAACTTGATTTCTTTACCATAGCACTGAAAATTTTAACTGTGCTCAGGAACTTCATAGTGCAGTTTTTAATGTCAGCAAAAGTCCTAGAATAATTCTGACTCCAGTAGCTAGACCCCTTAATATTAGGAACACTTAAGTACACCTCTGCATGCATTTTTCATAAAATTGATGTACTGCTCTATTAGACAAAGATTATTGTTGGTGTCAGAGCTGTCATTTCACTGTACTCCTGGTCAACATGAAGGTGCAAATGTATCTCATATGCGAGTCCTACCAGGCTTAAAGCAAAAAAACAGTTATGTATCTGCTTATCTCAGAATTAGGAGAATTTCATCAATTAAAGCACATCAATACTGTGAAGAACTGTTTAAAAGCATTTAAAATTAATGTTTAAAAGCATTTAAAATTAATGTTAATATGTGGCCTTTCTAAGCTCAAGTACATCACAAAGCTTCAGACATTTCTTCTAATACTTGGAAGTATTTAGTACTCCTGATAACACCTTGAATTCTTTTAAACCACCAGACAGCCGTGCCTTGCTACAGCGTTTCTACTTTTTGCTGCAACTTAGTAGTCACCATGAGACCTATTCCTGAAAGCAAGTTGGAAGAAGCTGTGCTAGCAACATCGAAATTAAAAGAAGCCCATGGAGCACCAATTCACATTGGTGACCCTGGTCAGTGCTTTTCATGTTTCACTTTGCATACACTTTACTGGGTATAAAAATGGGGAACCATGGGTTGTGAAGGACTGAAATACCTGCACCAGTAAATGTATTCTGTTTTAATCCTTTCTAATGGTCACAAACATTAATTTAAGAAAAATAAAGGAAGACAGAAAAAAGGAAAGAAAAAACTAGGTTTTGAATGAGCTGAACACAGAATTCTTGGTTGAAAGACAGTTGTCTGATGTTGATACATTAAGTTATATGGCAGGGGTTATGTAATCCCATTTTTCTGAAATGTATGCAGTTTCATTTGTATGTGCGTTCTTTCTTGCTGTCAGAGATTGCAGTGACATGGAGCAGTGACTGACAGCATGGGGAGAAGTATGTGTGGATGCATTTTGTGTCTTAGCAGATGAATGTGAAAGTAAATACTGCATTATTTTATAAAATATTGAAATGGGATACATGGAGCACAACACTTAAGACAGAATAAATAGAAATATGGAAAGAATATGTATATGTTTTAAAAGATCCAGCTAGAACATATTTAAGCCTATTCTTTACAGGGGGAAACTGAAAAAAACAACAAATAAAACAGAACCAAACCAAACACCTGTAAGATTACGATAGATCCAAATAAATTTTTAAAAATCCCCTCTGCTGACAGAAATCAGTCAATAAATAGAATCACAGGCTGCATGCACTGAAGAGTCACATTGGTAAGAGTACACCCAGTAATATATTTGATTTGAGTGCCTAAATACAAGGAACTGGTAATAAGTCATTACTCTGATTACAGCAATAAGATGATTGGGCAACTGAGGGTCTGAACTATTTATTTTTAACAGAAAAGAGGAAATTATTATATACACAGATTATATAAATTAATTCCAGAGAAGACAATGGTCTATTACAGCATCTGAAGAATTTAAAACCAAGGGAAGAGGGCAAGTGCTTAGACTGAATTTTACAAGTAAGTGTTAGAATAAAGCTAAAGATAATTTAGTGAAATCTAGGTTAGAATGAGATATAAGCAACTCAGAGAGGCAAAAGAGCAGTTGCTTGTTTCTGTAGCTAAACAATGTAGGAAGCTGAAGCAGCAGAAAATATGTTCTAGAAAGAACCCATTTTGCACCCATTTATTCTTGTTTGCCAGTGTTATGAATATCATTCTTCTGTTGATAGAGGAGATTTATAGTATCTTGGAAACTGTGTACATGTCTAGCTTGTGTTTTGTTGCAGTAATAAAATGAATACATTTTTACTGATGTCATCAAGTACAAAAAGGGAAAACAAGTCAGCTGCACTTCATGGGACATGCACTCAAAGACAAACTAAACATGCCACTTCAGTGGGACTGGCCACTGTTGCCATTCTAGCTCACTGTCACTCAATGATGGTTGGGGTCCCCCCAGCTTTGTAATAATAGTGCTTAATTGGAATCTCTTGTGATTTCATTTTTTATCAATTCCAGGTCTGCTGGGAATACAAGATCTTTCCAAACCAGATTATGGAGATCCAGTTCACCTTCACCCTGGTGATATTCCAGTGTTTTGGGCCTGTGGAGTAACAGGAATAGAAGCAGTCATCAACTGCAGTATGTACTATACTTGGACACTCTTTTAAAATTATCCTTCAGTTGCTTCTTCTCTCTTTTCCTTTTTTTTTTTTTCATTTTTTTTTTTTTTTTTTTTTTTTTTTTTTTTTTTTTTTTTTTTTTTTTTTTTTTTTTTTTTTTTTTTTTTTTTTTTTTTAAAAAACGTGGACTGAATTAATTGACTGATTAGCAGGCTTGATTTTAGAGTGAGCTAAAAACCAGCCCACCCAAACAACAAAATGCCTTTTGGAAGGACTGTTTTCCATCATGAAATAGAGGTCTGCCTTCAAGGATATTCTTACTGAAATTCCATCACTGTTCTTTAAGTATTTTAACAGCAGAAATCTAAAGCTCTGGCAGCATCAAAATGTCTTTTTTAAGCATTATTAAAAGGTAGAAGTTTAAAGGCATTCTTATTTAAGCTTCTCCCTTTTAAGATATTGTTTTGTATTACAGTGCAATAAAACAAGAAAAAAGGGGAGAAACAAAGAATAAAGAAAAAGAAGAAAAAAGAAAAAGAGCAGCCAGAAATCTTTCCAAAATGTTGCAAATGTATTGACCTGGAAAAAAAATTAAGCTTTTATATTTTGTTCTAAAATTAAGTAAATATGACAAACTTTACATAAATGAAGCTTAGTCCTCTGCACAGAGCTGCCCTGCACTTTACCCTGTCATTTATAACAGGCATGAGCACAAAGTTCAAGAAAATGCAACTGAATCATAGTGTCAGTGCTATATACTGCTCTAAATCACTGTTGTGGAATGAAATTGCATATTTTAGTTCTTACTGAATAAACAGCTTAATAGTCATAGGGAGTATAACTGGAAGAGCCTTGGGAGGTCATCTGCTTTGTCCTTCCCTCCTTACAGGATCTGCTGCATCCTTGTGGTTCTTTACAGATCATAGAATCACAGAATGGTAGAGGTTGGAAGGGACCTCTAGAGATCATCTAGGCTAACCCACCCTGCCAGAGCAGGACCACCTAGGGCAGGTCACATAGAAATGCATCCAGATGGGTCTTGAAAGTCTCCAGAGAAGGAGATTCCACAACATCTCTAGGCAACCTGTTCCAGTGCTCTGTCACCCTCATAGTAAAGAAGTTTCTCCTCATGTTGAGGTGGAACATCCTATGTTCTAGCTTATACCCATTGTTCCTTGTCCTATAGCTGAGCACCACAGAAAAGGGACTGGCCACTTCCTCTTGACACCCACCCCTTAGATATTTATAGACATTAATAAGATCCCCTCTCAGCCTTTTCTTCTCAAAACTGAACTGCCCCAGTTCTCTCAGCCTTTCTTCATAATGATGTTTATCTCAACTGCTCTCCACACCTGCTGTAAATATGTTCAGCACTAGGAGGAAAGACTTCGTTTTCTTTCTTACACACAACCTCTTTTTTCCAGTCCCAAACCCAAACTGAAAATCCTGCTCTTTCCTGTGCTCTCCAGCAGTTCTATTCACCTCCCACCTGCATGCTTGTTGCGGCTAAAGGAGAGGAATCTTTGCTAACCTCTCTACAATCGGTTGCTCAAAGCAGCTATCCTGACTTTCCTGGAACTGCCTTTTACTGTTGTTTATTTCTCCATTTTCTGTATTAAAATCAGTTGTCATTAACTCATTCCAGGAAATGTTTGGAAGTTTGTATCTTTCTCTGCTCCTTTCTCTTCTAGGTAGTTAAAATTCTGCCATACCAGCAGTACCTTATTAGATGAACCTGCTAGCTTCTCCCCAAAATTGTTGTCAGCTCACGTAGCTTGGTATTTGAAACCTCAACAGCCATGTTCCCCAGATTATTTTAACTAGCCATAGACTCCCAACAGATCTCGCACAGATCAAGCACACATTAAAGAAGTATCTCCTTGCTTTTCACCATCCAAACAAAGTAATATTTTGCTTGTGCCAGTTGTGATTTGTCCTACAATATACCAATTTTGCCAAATCAAGTATGATCTACATTAAGACATCTGGAATTAGGATAAAGGCAGCAAATATTTTCAGCTTAGGGAGCTACTGTGCTGTCAGGTCTAAATAAGCTTATTGTTCACCAGAGTTTTAGATGCTACTCAGATTCCCTTTGTTAAGGTTCACTGGTTACCTTTTGTCCTTATTTCTTGCCAGTTTATAGGTCTCCTAACTAGGTCACAAAGACACTGCACAGAGATAGTATTCCCCATATTCTTGATCCAATAAAGGACTACTAGCCAGCAGGCAGTAGCTGACACAGTTTTGTCGTATTACTATTACAAAGATGTTCAAAGGTACAAGAGATATACAATAGTTTCCAGCAGCACTCTACAACCCAGGAAATTTATTTATTCTTATGGAAACAGTACTACCAATAAACTGTGCAAACAAGCATTAGCTTGTTCTTATGTCAATTTTTTCCTGCATGTCAAACACAATTTTCAGATTTGCATATTCCTTACAGACTTGCTTAGAAGCTACCAGTGTGCAGTTCCTAAGTTGCCTCAAGTTTATACCAAAGAGGATATTGTAGAAAAAACCTGGTGTAAGTTACCCACATGAGCTTTTAAAAAGTGAAAACATTTTCAGATGTACATTCATACTTTTCTGCCTCAAAATGTATGAATTGCCACAGTGTAACTTAAAATATTAACTGTTTTTGTGATATAAGTGTCATCAGGCAGGAATCAACATCTGTGTTGTTAAATAACTTTCTGCGATTTTGTCATTCTGATATTTCCATTCTTTGCAATAACATGCTTAATTGAAGGGGTTTTTTTTTTACCCAATTTAGGAGCTCCATTAGCTTTTACTCATTCCCCTGGCTGCATGTTCATTACTGACCTGAAGAATGACAATGTCACAGTCAGATCCTCAAGAGAAGCCCCACAAGTTCACTGCATTTCTCAAAATCCTCTGCATTATAGTATTGTGTCAGCAGAAGCAGCCCAAAAGATAAAGACTCTAGAGACCCTAATTGGAATAGATCCAGGTAAAAACAAAAACTCTCTTCCTTTAGTGGATTTGTTATGAGCTAGAAATGACCTAAAGTGCTTTTTTTAGATATTCATGAAGTTCAAGAACACAGTGAGTCTAAAGGCCATGTTAAGATTTTAAACATGCTTCGTGGAATACAATGAGTCAATATAACCAGTTCTTAGATTTTCTGTTACCATTCTTAATATCAGAGTCTGGCCAAAACGACTCAACCTCATGGGTAATGAAATCTTGATGACTGTGTATTCTCAAAGTACACAGAAGCATCGATGTTTACTGCAGACTGGAGAGGCCACAGGGAGAAGGAATGTTACTGCATAAAACTGAAACCGGTATGTAAAGTTCAGGGCACCTCAGTATGCTGGTAATAGCTACATGGGTATTCACTGTGGAGCAAATAGCACATTTCTTTACATATATTCATGACTGCTGTGTTCCAACCAGAAAATTCTAGTAGTTTCATGTGGTTTTCAAACATAGCTCTCTGATGGGTGGAATGACATCAAGCTCTGCTGACATACTCATGACTGAGGTGTTGTGTGATGGACCAAAGTGACCTGGTCACTGCAGAAGGTTGAGAGCTAGGGCTGCATGTGTGCACAAGGAAGATGAGGGGGCAAAAAGGCAAACTCAATAACATAACCATTCCTAAAGTACACACTGAATTAGTCCCCTCTGTCTGCTGTAAATTTTTTCTCAGTTTCCCATAAATTTTCTGAAATCCTCTGTAGACAGTAGTGGAAAACAGCTTACGACCAGCTCTCCGAAGCTCCGGGTTTGGGCTGTATGCACATGTTTGGGTCTGTTTATTTTTACTCACAAGGCCTCTCCTTTTCCCACTCGCTGGAGTTCATCTTGGCACAGAGCCATGCCCTGCAGAAATACAGGACCTAACTTCAGAGTTAGCTCATTTTACTGCTAAAGGAGAGTACAGTACTTACTTTATCTCAGTTATTATACCCCACTTCTCAGAGACAAGCATTCCCTGCTTCTGTTACTTTTGTTCAGAACTTGTTTTTCTGTAGGAGGAACAGAGAAAGAAGTGGCAAAGGGGAAACTGAGGACAAAAAGAGGAAAGTGCAAGGCAGTGGAGAGGCAGGGGGAAGGTGAGAAAGGTGAAGATGTGAGAAGGCTAGAAAACAATAGTGAGGACTTACCTCTCACTATCAGCCCATGAATACTGGCACATTGTGCTGCTATTTGTGATTTTCAGGAGCACTAGCAAATGGGAAGGACTGTGCAGGGAACTTGTGTTTCCAAGTGCCAGGGAAGGGAGAGGGGATCGGAAGTGTTTGAACAATGAAAGACAGATAACACAGTGTTGCTTCTTTAGGGAGTGACCCATGAGAAGAGACATCTGTTAATATTCACCTGTTCTCAAGGTCCAACGTGTTTCTCTACTACATGACGTGTTACAAGATCTTTAGCAGTCACCTGGATACCACTGTATTAATTGAGTTTACAAAGTCTCTTGGTAACTCACAATGTCTCTGAAACCTCCCATTTCATTAAGTTAATTAATTTATTTGGGAATTAGCTCTTCCCTAAGGGGACAGTGCTAAATGGAAACAAAGAACCAGTGTGCTTATCTGACGTCTGCATCAAAACTTCTGTAAGATGTGGGATGCTTTGGTTGGAACCCAGCTTCAGTAGCTAGCCATGGTCACCACAGATCAGAGGAAAGCAGAGGGCCGAAGGAAAGGAAAGATATTCAGTAAGTGCTCTGAAGAAGGTATTTACCCTAGTACCTAGAAATGCTAGTTACAGTAATTTTCAAAATTCAGTTAATTGAAATTCTTAACCTGGAAGCACAGCCCATTATCTTCATTACTCATATCCTACACCTTGCTGGGTTTCCTGAGGAAATTGCCCCAATTCCTGCCTCGACCAGAGGTTTTTATTTTTCTAAATTATTTTCTGTCATTAAGGTATGCAGGTTCACCCACACAGAACTTCAAAGGCAGAATGGTATGTTGACGTGTACTGATCTCTTTGAAAACACTTCTCTAGGAGAGCGGGGTATAGTCCATCTCCTGCAGCAGGGTGAGCTGCTGAGGGCTGGCCTGGCCATCTCCCACGCTCGCTCTGTGCTGATCACAACTGGATTTCCTACCCACTTCACTTATGAGCCGCCGGAGGAGAACGACGGGCCCCCGGGAGCCCTGGGGAGCACAGCCATATTGCAGGCCTTGGAGAAAGAGGTTGCCATAGTAACAGATCAGAGAGCCATGCATCTGTATGAAAAGATTATTGAGGAGGCTGTTCAACTAGGTGAGACACAGGTTTCTGCAGTTTTTCTCTTGACAATTTGAGCCAAGGTTTGCTTCAGTTAATGTCACTGTCACTTAGTATAGGATTGTTTCTTTTCCAGGGAATGAACCTGAGTTTATCCTCTGAGCTCTGATCAGCATTGCTAGGATGACAATTTGTTATACCTAGCTGGCATCAAGTTAATGCTTATGTGTGGGGGTTCAGATTGTGGATTTGCTGTTTGTGATGAATTCTGGATGTTGGTTCTTATTCTTGGAGACCTGTTTTCTGTCCTAAGGCCCCATTTACTAGCACTAATGTCCAAACAAGTTTCATTTAAAATGAGGATGCAGGGACCTTATTAGGAACTCTGCAAGTACACAGAGTCCTTACTCTTCTAAGTGTTTTGGTTGTTTTGGTTTTTCTTGTTTTTTTAAAGTTACTCTAACACATATTAAAGGAAAAGTACATAGGAACAGAATTTGTTTTTTGTTTCCCTGTAGGAATCTTGAAGAGACCTGTCCCTCTGTTGAGTTATCAAAAGGAAAATGCTGATTCAGCCTTAATGTTTTTGTGTGAGAATGGGAATCCTGGAAGACCTAGGTATGTATATTCCGTTTTTGAGAATGGGCCACACCTTTACTGTTTAAAGTTATAATAAAAATGATTACAATGATGTTAAGACGGTAAAATGTAACAACTAAATCCTTAAGACTTGGAACAAACAGAACAAATTTCGAAGACAAGCGTTGGCATTGGAGCACACAAAGTACTGAATTCTGTATTATTCTGCAATTATGCATTTCTGGAGTACAAAAAAAGAAACAATGCTTCATATATCAATAGCTTTTTTTCTTTGAAAAAAATCTAAAAGCTTTTCAGCTGTTATTCCATAGATTCATATACAAACACAATATATATTATTTTGCCAGCTTTTAAAAATGAGAAAATCAGAAAGGGGAAGTATTATGCTAGAGTTAGCGAAAGAGCTAGGAAAAAACAATTGTGGAGTGCATTAATTTTCTAGATCTTTGGCTCCAGTCTGACAACTGGGGAATCTGATCTGGTTTAATAAAATGTGAAACGTGTGTAATAGTGTGAAAGTGATCATCTTCTGCCTCTGTTTTTAGGCAGAGAAAGCCAAAATTATAGACGTATGCCTGTACTTCTCGATATTTATTTGAACAGTTTGCATATGGATTGTTGAGTATAACAATTTTGGGTAAAAATTCAGATTTATAGAAAGTGTGTGGTTAGGGTTAATGCACCAGAAAATTTGCTAAATAGCTGTACACACATATCATTGCTTAGCAGGCATTCCCTTTAAGTATGCACACTCATTGTTATTGATCTTTCCTCATAAAGCACTTAAATTGTTCTTTTTAATAAAAAGATAGTTCACTCTTGTATTTGCTTCATCAACTTACTTAATTCCCATTTCTTTCCACAGGTTAGTGTATTCTATAATATATATGCTGTAATAGTATGCATGATACTGCCATCATTATTTTATGTATTGCTTTAAAAATGTGTTTTATAGCTATGCATAATATAAGTACAGCCAGTATCTACTTCAATTCATCCACAGTCCCACAAAGCTAAAGTAAGTGTTTCTTTAAAGTAGACAACTAGCTTGTTTAAGGTCTCTGGAGTCACCATAGATAGCCACCCACAAAAACATTCAGTAATGCAGCAAAATTAGTAACCTCTTGACAGTACCTTTGGAGAAACAAAAGCAAAATAACTTAATTCTAACATACAGTGACAGAACTGAGTACTGGAATTCTGCTTCAACCATTGGAACTCTGCAGTCAGTACATTTGTCATAACTAACAAAATAGCCATCAACTAAAATCTCCCAATGCTAGAGACCCAAACCAAAAAACTAGGAACAAATGAACATTTGCCAAGCAATGTACTTTAAGCAGAGATTGTATTTACATTAACAAGGATTTAGATTATAATTAATTTGCCACTTTTTTATTTTCTTTTATAATAACTGTAGAAACTACTGTCTTACAAGATATTCTGTATTTTAACATGAAACAGAGCAAGGTCAGATGGCTGACCCGAGTGATTGCTGGCTAGAAGGATTTCAGGAACCTCCCCATTTCTTGGTGGCAAATGTGGTTTGAGGGAGTGTCCCGGTTTGAGCCACGATGAAGCCACTTTTTCTTTTACTGATTTCTTTTCCTTCAGTAAGCTTTCTTTTAACTAGCACCAGTGTGTTCCAACTAAGGCTGATAAGAATGGAATGTTTTTCTAACTGCTGGATCTTCAAGGTCACACCTTCACTCTGCCGGCTCAGACACTACGGGGAGATCTATGACCCCCCTGTAGGAGGCTGAGTTAGACAGACAGCAAAATTGGCCAGAAATATTCCATTCCATATATCTACATAAGCTCAGAGGAAGGTCAGAGATCACAGAAGACAACTTCCTTCCTGCTTCTTCTTCCCTTCTCTTCCATCCATGGCCAGTGTCTGGGGAGGACTCCATCCATCCATCACCATTGACCCTTAGGCCTGAGCTCTCCTGACCCTCATCACTCTGTGCTCTCTCTGGCACCACCACTCAGTGCTGCTGGCTTCATCATGGCTCAAACCAGGACAGGGAGTTGAACTAAAGTTATAGTGAAACTAGACTAGCCTTTTAAAACAAACTGTAGAGAACATATAGAAAGAACAAAACAGTATCCAAGTTTTACCTTGAATCCTGCATGGTCAAAAAGTAGAACCAAATGCAACAGGATAACAGAAGAGTTGGTGATGTGAGAATCACAGCTTTAACTCCTCTCCTCTGTTTTTTCACTTGCCTCTAACCAGATTTGATCACCTGGTAGCAATAGAGCGTGCTGGAATGGCTGCTGATGGCAATTATTACAATGCCAGGAAAGTTAACATTAAACATCTAGTGGATCCCATAGATGAACTATTTTTAGCTGCACAAACCATTCCAGGAGTCTCAACAACAGGTATGTGTGAGTTCGTGTTATATTCTCAGAAGCAAGAGAAGCACAAAACAGGAACTCTTACTGGAAGTGAAAGGGAGCAGGAGGCAGGTGCTCAATAACCACTTGTGGGCTACAGCTGTTTGTCATGGTCAAATTTAGAGACCATTGCTGGAGAAAAATTAGAGGTTTCTGTTTAAGGGTTCTCACAACCCAAAAAAGTGAAGAAGTTGATTTCAAAGTTATATAAGGACAAAAAAAGCAAGCCCAGTTGTTTGTATTATCAGTTTGCACATATATGCTTCTCCAAGTGTCATTTTTGACACTTGACTTTTTCCTGTATTTCATGTGTGAAAGGCAGCATAGAAAGCATATTACTACTGAATGGAAACATTACATATAAAAATCTATGTTAAAAGAGAACTCTAGATAGAATCTTAGTTCATATTGCCTTTTAGCAATACATTCTCTTGAGTAAGGATTGTATATTTGTATCTATTATAATAGTGCCTTCTCTAATGAAGCACACAGGTACAATAATAATCCTTAAAAGAATACATTGTCCTTCCTGACAAAACTACATTAGCATTGACTAACATCTACTGAGAGTGCTGTTGTCAACACAGTGCCCCTCTCTTTTGTTGGTAGATCTTTTATTCCTGAAAACTGATTTGTATCTGGTTTTGAAAGAATATGCCATAGGTCAGGGATTCCCAGATACATATAAAGTGTTGTACAATGTCATTGTACAATCAAATGCTTAGTGCTACACTGTGTGGCCCAAAATGAAGTTAGGAGATACATAATCTATTTAACTATTGGAAACAAAATTAGAAATAAGCATCACAAAATTAGAAAAAGTGTCCATGACAGGCTGATTTCAGTCACATCAGAACATGATCTGGCTTTTTTTCTTATTCTAGTGCTGTGGACTCACTCCTAAGTATTATCAGAAGCACTGGAACTTTCACTTTTTGGTACTGTTGTTTTTCAAATGTTTCCACAGAATTGAGAGTGCTTCTGCAGAGATAATGGTAGTCTAATTTCACTGTGTTAGGAGCATTTACAATCTGTATAGCAGTACAGTTCACTGGTATTTTTTGTACTATCTTAAAACGTGCAATATATTTAACTTAGATTTAAGGCAGAATTTTTCCTGTTCTAAGGATTAACTTTAGCATTCAAAAAGAAGCACTCTAGGTGGCACTCTGTTGGCAATCTCAGCTAGGAAGCCAGAGATTGACTGAATAAGAACACAAAAAACTCTCTTTCATAAAAATGTTTAGCAAAATGCCTCAGAGCTTGATCAGCTGCAGTTAATTTCAATTACTTTGTCTCTGATTTTAGACTGCTGTTACAAGGAGTTTCCAGCTATTTATGTTACATCACATCCTGATTCCTCTAATAAAAATACACTAATTTCTTAAAATATCTCTGCTGAGCAGCTCAAGGTATATTACTGATTAGGTGGAGTTTGGAGTATTCTATGGCGTGGGGATTTAAATTTGTGCAGCAGAATGTAGTTTGTTTCAAACATCCCCTGAATATTCAACTATACTATGAAATGCCATTAATTAAAAATACCACAGGCTTGTGAATAAGAAAAAGCACTTATTCCAAGATTCACTGCATCTCATTGCTGTGAATTTTCTCTAAAGAGATGTCTGCATGATTTAACAAGTCATAAGCTTCAAAAGATAATGAAGGTATCTGCTCTGGTCCCCCGTGGAACTGGTGAATACTGATATTCTAGACTGAGAACTAGCTGAGTATCCGTAGAAAAATGGTGTCATTGTTTCTCACATTGTCTGTTACCTGGTTATCATTTCTTGTTTTGTTTATCACACAAACTTTTATGTCTGTTTTTTTTTTAATTTGGTTACAATATCTTGGGATAGCTGTTGGCTTTTTTAAATGTGTTTCTGCAAAGCCTAGCTTAGCAAGGCAGGGATCTGGATGTGGCCTTTGTGTCTGATCTCTTACTACTGATGACAATGTATTGCTACTGACTATGATAAATCTTTCTCCTGGAGCTATCTTGGATTTTCTTCATGGTCTTCATTTTTCTTCTGGAGACATATGTCTAGTTTCAAAATAAAATGCAAGTATCATAAAGGCCCCTTTAAGGCTGAGTATTCATATAACTTTATAGACTAGAAACTTCAAGTTTTCAGCCTTAAAGAAGTCTTCATGTAGTGTGCTCATTGGCAAGAAGCACTGTGTTAGTAGGTGGAGACGGGAAATAATAGAACATTTGTTACATGCTGATTTATTGCTCTCAAGTTTTTAATTTAAAACCAAATCTGTGTTTAAAGAAAAATCTGATCTAGGAATCTGACCACAAATTATGAACAATGCCTACAGTTGCATGGGGACCTCTAATAAAAAGTCATGGATTAAGCAGCGACCTTCAGGAATATACAAAATAAGAAGACATGAAAGGCTGAGGTTGGAAGGACTCATTTTCCAGAAAAGAATGAAATAAAAGATCAAGAGATTTTACCAAAACCACATGCAATTTTATTTTATTTTTTTTGCAGCTGTCATAAAATTGACATAGCTCTATGCTATTTATGTAGGAGCTAATGAAAAGCTTCCCAAAGTGCTGCATGAAAACATGTGGTCACACTTGTTTCCCTTTCATACCAATGATTTTTTAGCACAGAAGACTGACGTTTCCTGCATTTTTTATAAATGTAGTTTCAGAAACAAATGTTTTGGTGAAAACGAGTGAAAGATCTTTTTCCTCTGTCTGGAAAGCACTTAGGCCTCTTGGAGCTGAGGATTCATCTTGTCTATTTTCAGACATCTCTATTTGAGATGTCTGCCTTGGGGTGAGACAAACTGAATGTTTAAAGGGTCTGTTCCCCTCTGCTGACTAGCTCCTGTAGATGGCTGCATTTTGTCTGGTGAATCTTCTGTGGAAATCAACAGTAAAATGTAGTCCCCTGCCAGCATGTAGAGGAAGAAGAAAACAGATGGTATAGAAAAAATTTTCGTGTGGTGTTCTTTTCCTCTCACTGTAAAAATTTTTCGTGTGGTGTTCTTTTCCTCCCAGTGTAATGCTAATGGGATCCTTCCACAGCAGTAGATCTGCTATAACCACCCTCGTGACAGGGTCTCCACAAAGACAACAAAAAGCAAAGCAAGGCTGATACCAAAAAAACCAAACCTGAACAACAAATTCGTACCTTTCGGTGAAATACACTGTGGATGGTCTTCAAAGGACAAGAATCCATTTAGTTTTCTTAAATAATATTAAGAGGAACTCTTCAGATTTTGAATCTAGAAGAAAGAAAACATTGTGTGGACTCTTACAAACCAGCAGTAACTACCTATGATGATAGAGGCACCATGATTGTGTCATTACCTATTTGAAAAGTACTACCAGCAAAGAGATTTTAGAAGGCACCATTAAACCCTAACACCAATATAAATGTAAACAGATTATCAAGGCAGATAAGAAAAAATATGAGCTGTTCTGTGGCAAATCCTTTTGTGTAAGTTAAGTGTCACTCAGGTACTCTCCCCTTGACTGTATAGAGTCGTGGAGTTAAATAAATGGCTGCTGAGAAATAACCTTCAGTTTCACTTAAGAAGGAAATTGCTACAGACTTATGTGAGATATTTATGCAGTTACTGAAAGCGACACTGGGGAAGACATTGGATGCTTTCTAAAGGGATTGTTAGGTATAATCTAGGTTCTTACTCATTTGGTCTTTTTTTCTCTTTTGATAAAGGTGTTGGAGATGGAGGAAATGAATTAGGCATGGGCAAAGTAAAAGATGCTGTAAAGAAGCACATAAAAAATGGAGATGTTATAGCTTGTGATGTTGAAGCTGATTTTACTGTTGTGGCCGGTAAGAGATTTATTTAGATGGGAGAGTTGCTGATGTCTGAGACTAGAACTGACAAGAAAATGTCTGTCTTTCCAACTAATTTGTATCGGCCCTTTCTTCATATGCCTAAGTCAGCATTAGCAAACAGATCTGTTTCTGTTAGTTCCATTTTCTGAATAGTTGAGCAACTACAGTTCCAGCCAGGACAATTAAAAATTGAGGATGTTCTGTGAAGAAAGTGCATTTAATTGGAAGTAATTAGGCAAATCTTGAATATTCTTGAAAAATCACACCTTAAATAAAATAAAAAGGAAGACTTAGCTGTGTGGGAATTACAATGCCTATGCACATGTGAACTTTCAGCATATTTGATGAGCTTCTGTGGGTGTGATTCTGTCAGGGTCATCAGTCATATTGCTCTTATATGAAGAGATTATAAGTCCTTTCCACAGCCACTGGGGGACACATGTACCTTCTTAATATGCAACAAGAGTTGAATATTGTAGTTATAATTCTCTTCTACCCCAGCACCTTCACCAGCATGAAGTAAAAACCTCAGGGATACATGTTCAGCAAGGACCAATTTATGAACTGAATGGTTCATACTGTACTTAGGCTCAGATTTCTAAGTTTCTAACATGGGTGTCAAACACTTCTGATAATAAACCAGCAATTTTGGGGGAGAAATCAGAGTGAGATGGTAATTACACCTGCTTCTTATCTCTGGAAAAGGTACAAGGCAGCAGAAATACCTTCTTGCACAAGTTTCAAATCTAACGGACACATCATCAAGACACAAATAGTTCCACCACTGCGTCATATCTAATACAATAGCTACACTCGTTAATCAGGCAGCTTTTGTGACCAAAAAGGAATTCTCTGCAATGCTGCAGCATTTCATTCTAAAATCTGACACCAGTGAAAATTTGTCTGGTTTTGGACACAATCAAAATGCTCTGCCTCTCTCTGGTTAAAAGCGAAACACAGCTCCTCACAGTTCCTGGACTTTCTGTCAATAAGCCAAGGGGAACTGTGTTAAAGACCATGTCCATTTGAGTTTTTGCTTTGTTGGAAGGACAAACCACAAACTAAGCTAGATGGAAACCTGCAGAAATTTAATTTGAAATACTACAGAAACCATTTTGGTATGTTAAGCAATTGTGTAGGTCTGAAAGAAGTGTTCCAACTTTATGTTAATATGTAATTCGTATCCATGTTCAAATTCACCATCACTACATGAGACTCAGTTGTTCATGCTTAGGGACTCATGCAGGTTGGGGATCTTTGCAATAGCCACTGTTTATTTTTTTGAAGTTCGGTTTCATGGTGACTTTCTTTTGCAGGGGTGTCTAACTGGGGAGGCTATGCCATTGCTTGCACTCTGTATCTCCTCAGCACTTGTGAAGTCCATGACCGCTACCTGAGGAGAGCTGTTGGGTTTCCACAGTTACCAAAGAAGGCTGCCTGGCTATCAGCACTTCCATCTGTTACCAAGGTAATTCTTGTAGGACCATGGAGCTGTGCCTTGCCTGTGAAATGTAGATGGAATTGGCTACCAGCGGCTAAATACTCCCCTGTCCAGGTCAATAGCTTACCTTCACATGGTCTTCTGGTGACTGTTGATGAGCAGCCACACTGTACTTCAGAATATTCCACAAAGGATTTGAGACAGATTGAACATTAAAATCCTCAAAAATTAATGTATTTGTGTGCTGTGACTTCAAGCACAAGACAGTGCTACAATTTTATGGGCAGTACAAGAAATCCTTATATTGCAAGACAGTGATTAAAATTCCCTGTTCACTTTCCTAGCATTGCTTATGATTTTATAAATCTCTGCTGCATCCTCCTTGAGATGTCTTGCCTCCAAAATCGAAAGTCACAGTCCTAAAACAGAAGCCACTCTGTACTTCTTATCTTTGCACCTACTTATGGTCTTTCCGCCTTTTCTAGTTATGTTAGAACCTTTCTATAATTAGTTTTGAATGGTTTTAAATTGAAGTTGGAGAAAGACTTGCAGGTGTATATTTTAAAATGTGTTTTGACTAATGCAGCTCTGAACAGTGTGATATTCTGAGACTGCAAAAGTTTCAGACTGAGAAAAAGTAAAATAATGGTGAGGGGTGAGAAATGACTGTGACCTGTGCTCATCATGCTAAGCACGTGACTCCTGGTGCATGACTTGGCAGTGTTTAAATATATGTATCTATATACACTCAGTGATCAAGTAAGGTTTTTTCCATTGTATGTATAAGTAACTTAGGAACTTCAAATCAGTTTTATTGGCAGAGTACCTCTATAAAGACTTGGACAAAACCTGTAAGTTGGTGACCTCCAAGAATGCCAAGCAAAAGGCAATCTGTCTACCCCAGATATTGCCCATAACAATGGAGTGTTTCTCCTGAGATGACTGTATATTGTGTGAAATTCCAACAAAGCACCTCTTAAGTATTTTAGAGTAGGTCTTACTTTTTTTTTAAATTCTTGCTATTTTGTTTTTTCACTTAAAGGTCATAAAATTGAAGCTGATCCCAAAGTGTAGCACAGCCACATAGCCACTTGTCTGTTGACTTAACAAAGCATATGGCACCTTTCAGTGCAATCTTTTCCAAAAATAGATCTATGACTTTTCACTTTTCAAAGTTTTTTTCCGGTCCCATCTACCTTTCCTCCCCCCCCACCCTTTAAATTAACATATCCTAAAAACTACTGTGATCAGAATTCCTGGTAATGAGATACTGTAATTAAAAGTGATATTGTGTACAGGAAGTCTTTCTCGGTTTTGTTTTACTAAGCTGTACAGCTGGGAATATTGATAATGATCCGGTAATGGGCTATTGGAAGTGCAATACTAACATCTAATAAGATGAAATTAGTGGAAACTGTTTTGTGGAGGAGAGAAAATTACAAAGTGTCTGACAAGAGATATGATATCTTTAATTATAAATCATTCAACAATAAACAGTGGAGAGGATTGAACAGATTAGTGGTCGCATATTCCATTAGTATAAGAAAGAATTCACACCATTTGTGTTTATATGGCTACTTTCTGCCTAATCCAGTTTCTTTTAATGCTATAATAATTACCCCACTGAGCTGAAAAGCACCACCACACACATGCACCTCGGTGTTCATATTTGTCTACTAGTAATTGGAAAGCAGACATCTGAAGGAGTGCCTGAGCACCAAACAGCTTTCTTCTAATGTGTTTCCTTTTTCTTTCAAAAATAGCGTTCCTTCCATGAAAACTCTAGACTGTGATTACTAAATGAAGACCCTTTGAAACACAAAAGTTGTTTCTCTTCAGCCTCCTGTTCATGCAGTGTCAGGATCACAATGCAGCAAACCCCAAAACTGTGGAGCTCCCCATTCCCACTGAACAATAACCAACCCCATGTTGGTTAGTACAATATTGGTTTGACTTTTCAGATGTGCCTGTTACTTTTATACTGAAATGACTGTA